CAACCAATGAATTAGGACATTTGTTTATTCTATAATTAACTGATAATCAATTTAAAGCCATGGATTAATTTTTGTCACAATGAATAATCTCTTACAGTTTCCGAGCAGCCAAAAATCTAAGTCTGTAGTTTCTATTATGTAAGGCAACCTAAATTATTTTTACTGTACTCTTTTGAATCAATTTTTTTTTCATTAGAAAACAAACAAGACTGTTCGTTTCATGGCGAAGCCCCGAATTCTCCGACTGCCTTTAAAGATCTATGGAGCAGTGTTTGCTTTTAAAAACGATGTATTTTTCAGTCAGAAAAAAACTTAATTTTTTTGAATTTTTTAAATCATCCTTTCACCCGCCATACTAAGTACCATGTGATAGATTTCGCTCCTAGTAAAGTAGCAACTAAAACAAATAGCTTGCTTCGACCAACTTAGCAACGGAATAAATTGCCGCTTCCGCGTTATTAGAATGAGGTAGATCGCGCATTAATTGTTCCAAAATGGTCATATTGGCAATCTTTAAGCCCTCATAACTTTACGAAAAATGATCACAAGCAAAATATATACTTTTTAAATTTGAGCTCAGGAAAACAATATTTTGTGGCTGGTTTAAAAAGTTTTGTCAAAATTTCTTAGTTAAAAAGTATAAACTTGTCTGGAGAAAGAAACCGCCCGAGCACAAATATTCCGTCTCTTTGTTCGAAAGTCGGAAAAGTTACGTTTAGCTAACGAACAATATATGTTTTGGTTGTGCTGATGAAATACATTTGATGCTTTGCTTAAAATTTTATTCCAACATCCTTTGGGTGAAATTTCATCACAAATAGGATAGCCGGTTACTGTGCAAAGATCACAGAATGTTCCGACCACAGTCTTAGAAAAAGCAACAACGTTTTTTTTCTGCGCGGTGTGATCAAAAGATCTGAACGAAAACTTAGAGTTTGGCATATTTGACAGTCATTGTGTAGAAAGGCAGGCCAGGCGGAAAGGCATTTTTTGCCAGGCGGAATTATTGTTCCGACTTTCGATACGAAAGTAACGGAATATTTGTGCTCGGGGTGAGTTTTTTTTTTCTTCAGACAAATTTCGACTTTTTAACTGGCCTTTTTTGACGGAATTTTTTTATATCATTCAAAAGGTATTGTTGTCCTGAGCTTAAATTTGGAAAGATATTTCACCTGTGATCACCTTTCGTAAAGTTATGAGGGTTTAAAGATTGCCATTTTGACGTTTTGACCAATTTGGGACAATTAACGCGCGATATAATTCGCGTTATTAACGCGTAAGCGGAGATTTAATCCGTCTTATAAATCGTTCCAAATTTGTTGAACGAAGCTTATTTGCCGTAATTGATTTGTTACAAGGAACGAAATCTATCTTTTTGTACTTTATATGGCGTGTGGGGGGATGATTTTCATAAAAAAATTTTCAAATTTTAGAAAAAAAATTTCATTTTATTTTATTTCATTAAATTTTTTTAAATGTTATTACTGCTGCTCCACAAAAGGCAGTCGGAACATTCAGGGCTTCGCCCTGATACGAGCAGTCTTGTTTGTTTTCATAATTTGTTACTTTCCTCTCAGCGGCACAAGTTTTAACCATAACAGTTACTTTTTGATTGATTTAGAACATGATTTGACCCATAAATAAAATCGAACAAGACTGCTCGTATCAGGGCGAAGCCCTGAGTGTTCCGACTGCCTTTTAAGGCTTTATGGAGCAGTATTAGCATCAGAAATTTGAGTGTAATAAAATAAAATGAAAAATCATCCCCCCACACGCCATATAAAGTACAAAAAGATAGATTTAGCTCCTTGTAACAAATCAATTATGGCAAATAAGCTTCTTTCAACCAATTTGGAACGATTTTAAGACGGATTAAATCTCCGCTTACGTGTTGATGACGCGAAATATATCGCGCGTTAATTGTCCCAAATTGGCCAAAATGGCAATCTTTAAACCCCCATAACTTTACGAAAAATGATCACAGGTGAAATATCTTTTGAAATTTGAGCTCAGGACAACAATAGCTTTGGAATGATATAAAAACTTCCGTCAAAAATGGCTAGTTAAAAAGTCAAAATTTGTCTGAAGAAAAAAAAACCCACCCCGAGCACAAATATTCCGTTACTTTCGTATCGAAAGTCGGAACAATTAAGTCAAGTTTTCTGCAACAAGTAAGACCTTCCTGTATTGTTTAAATTTCCATAGATGTTGCATTTTTTCTTTTTTTTCCTTCGTGGTGTGTCAGTCAGTATTCAAAACAATTTTTCCAATTACGAAGTGCTGTGTAGAACACAACACAACAAACATCAAAATGTAGTGTTCAGAAATGGGAAACAAACACCATTTAAAAACAAACTGAAAGAAGAGATATTTCGAAAATCATAAGCCCGCTTCGGATTAAGAAATTTACAAACAAAACTAAACCCGCTGACGACTTTAACACGCAAGACTTAAGCAAATAAAAATAAAAGTTCGTTGCACCATCAAAAAGCTCGTGATTCAACAGCACAGAGGACCAATTACAGATATGGAACACCCTCAATTTATAAAAATAATTACTCAGAAGAAACATCCTTATAGGTCTAGCTCGCCTTGGAATAATGACATTTCCTAAAAACAAAACCATATCACGCAACCGACTAGTTGGTTGAGGAGATTTTTGTTTTTGAACCAAGACTACTTAAGATCTTAAAAGGCAATCGGAACTTTAAAAGCTCCGAACTGATATGAGCAGTCATGTTTCAGTACATATATTATTGCAGTATTTGTTTCTACATTAATAAAACGTTACTCTTTATGCGTTACTCCTTGCAGTTTCAATAAAACTACGTCGCTAATTTTTTGACCAACGAGTTTTATCGAGTCCAACAGTTTTCAGCATGAATGAATTTGCGCAACGAAATGTTTCTTGGGCTGGTTCGTACAACCAATGAATTAGGACATTTGTTTATTCTATAATTAACTGATAATCAATTTAAAGCCATGGATTAATTTTTGTCACAATGAATAATCTCTTACAGTTTCCGAGCAGCCAAAAATCTAAGTCTGTAGTTTCTATTATGTAAGGCAACCTAAATTATTTTTACTGTACTCTTTTGAATCAATTTTTTTTTCATTAGAAAACAAACAAGACTGTTCGTTTCATGGCGAAGCCCCGAATTCTCCGACTGCCTTTAAAGATCTATGGAGCAGTGTTTGCTTTTAAAAACGATGTATTTTTCAGTCAGAAAAAAACTTAATTTTTTTGAATTTTTTAAATCATCCTTTCACCCGCCATACTAAGTACCATGTGATAGATTTCGCTCCTAGTAAAGTAGCAACTAAAACAAATAGCTTGCTTCGACCAACTTAGCAACGGAATAAATTGCCGCTTCCGCGTTATTAGAATGAGGTAGATCGCGCATTAATTGTTCCAAAATGGTCATATTGGCAATCTTTAAGCCCTCATAACTTTACGAAAAATGATCACAAGCAAAATATATACTTTTTAAATTTGAGCTCAGGAAAACAATATTTTGTGGCTGGTTTAAAAAGTTTTGTCAAAATTTCTTAGTTAAAAAGTATAAACTTGTCTGGAGAAAGAAACCGCCCGAGCACAAATATTCCGTCTCTTTGTTCGAAAGTCGGAAAAGTTACGTTTAGCTAACGAACAATATATGTTTTGGTTGTGCTGATGAAATACATTTGATGCTTTGCTTAAAATTTTATTCCAACATCCTTTGGGTGAAATTTCATCACAAATAGGATAGCCGGTTACTGTGCAAAGATCACAGAATGTTCCGACCACAGTCTTAGAAAAAGCAACAACGTTTTTTTTCTGCGCGGTGTGATCAAAAGATCTGAACGAAAACTTAGAGTTTGGCATATTTGACAGTCATTGTGTAGAAAGGCAATGGGGAAACAAATTTTTGTAGAAAGTTGACTAAAAAAACAAGCAAAATTTTTAAAAAAATACAAAAATATTTAGACGTTTTTTTTAGTTTCCCAAAAGCGAAAAAAATTTCATTTTTTTGTGCCGTCCGAATCAAAAGTGAAAAGGCTTGGAATTGATAGGTCACTCAACTCTCTCCAATGATTGTTTGTGGTAGCTGATTTTGAACCAACATCGACCACTAATAAAATCTGTCGTTTTCTTTTTAAGGCTCCCTAGTTTTGGTTTGCAAGCTTAATTTTTTTAATAAAAATTCATTCAAGTTTGAGGGGAGAGCACGCGCTCAACAAATGTATTGTTTCGCTGAAACAATTTCCAAGATCCCAAAAATATAAATTTCCGAGTGCGTGCTTCGACGGCTGAAATTTAGGCAAACCATTTGATTGGAGTGAGAATCCATGCTACCATATAATTTAAGTTCTAAAAGGCATTTAACTGTTTTTTCTCCTTAGTACCAAGTTGATTACTAATTTTTAATATTTTTTCAATCGCTTAAAGCACATAGTTGGAAAATAAATTGGATCAAAATAATGTGCTAAAACAGAGATTTAAAAAATGAAACAAAAAGAATGCGTCTTTTTTTACTGGGCCAAATTTGTTGCAAAACGGCAGTTAAAACACAGAACTTAGACTTGACACAAGCAGTCTTGAATAATTTTGTGTATGGCTTGAAAATAATAGTTGTAATAACTTTTTGTTTTAAAGATATCGTCTGAAAACGCAGTTTTGTGCCGAGAACATTTTTTAAAACCACAAGCTGTATTAAACTAGCGATTGAATTACAGGCCCGACAAATCATTTCATATTTTATGCCAAATTGTTGGCAATATGGATGACCTCGAGCAATTTAACCCGTGAAAACTATAGATTTCTAGGTTGTTTAGTGTATCTGGATGCAATTTTGAAAGCAAAAGTCAGTGAAACACAGAAATTCGCCGTCAAATGATTATCTGAAGGTTAATTAATTTTGCTCAGATTCGTTGATCGAAAAGGATATTGCCGACAATTTGGCATTAACAAAAAGCAAATTAAAAATCAACGTCAGTAAATTGATCATGAAATAACTAACCTGGGAGCAAATGATGACGTTGATAGCGATGAATAATTTGATAACAGAAGACAACATAGTTATTTTTTTAACAATGACAAATAATATTCCAGAAAACATATGCTTGAATTCTAAAAAAAATAATAGAAATTTAGTTTTGAATCAATATAATTTAAAGTACATTTGTTGGACTGATTGGTCTAGGTCTTAAAGGTATCTTCTTTATTTTATAAGCTGTTTTTGGAGCATTGGTATCCATCTGGCTTGAGAACAAACAACTTCTTTTTTTTATTTGCAGAATAAAAACGCAGAAAAATGCAAAGAAAAATAGAAAAGGAGCTGGGAATAAATTTATAACACGAAAAATCAATTTCGCTTAATTCCTGTGTTTACCTCGAGTATCTAACTCAATAACACTTGTATGTTCACAGCTCCGCGGGGTTGAAATCTCTCCAAAGTTGGCTTTGAAAATCTTGAGACGGAGATGGAGGCATCGGGTGAAATTTAGGTAAGCGTGTGGCATGTCCGCACAGGAAAAGAACAAAGAAATCTCAGTTAATTTGAGTGACAGCTTCATTGTGTGTGAACAGAACCAAAAACCAACCCTCGCCTCCCCCTCATTCAAAAACCCCCATCCTTCTCCAAAACGCCACTACATAAAATCGAGAACTCGCGCGACCATATTTTGAAAGAAATCACAATAAAATAAAGATATTTAAAAATCAGTTTTATACTAAGAATAGTCATCAGACCTCTGCATTTCATTTTTGCAAAAATTATCTTTGCTCAAGATGCTGTTATTTATCCAATTATAAAAGTTAATTTTCAATTTGACTTTCAAATCAATCCAAGTTTGAAAATCAATTTTTAGATTATCAATTGAGAAAATTCGAAATTGTTAGCTTGTAAAAGTTGAGGTTTTTTGAACAAACCATCTAAAGAATAGTAGACCTGATTAAAACCTGGTAAGAATGCTCATACATTTAAAAAGATGAGCCCAGACAAGTTTTTTATGTATCTGTATCCAACGAGATTTTCAGTGCAATTAAAATTGTACTTTGTTTCGCATTCTGGAGAGTGAAAAGATTAGGAAGATTCGAGTGCAGCCTCATTGACAGGTAAAAGACAGCCCGAAAGTCCCTCGAGGTCACTCTATCGGCAGCAAGTTCGAAAAACAGAAGGAGCATTCAGCCGAACAACCAAAAAAGCTTGAAAAACTTTTTGACGTTTTTTTTTCTTCAAGTTTTAACATTTCCTGAAAACAAAATTTAAATTTCGTTTTTGTTTGTTTCTTCAAGAAGTTTAGAAAGATCTTTATATATTACAAAATTTTTTTTCGGAAGCTATTTCTTGAGTGTTTGATCTAGGTTTACGGCAAACTTGGGACAAAATTTGATATATTCTCTCTTTCAGAAAAACGCAAATAAAAATTACGGTATTTGCAGTAGTTGAGTCTAATACAAGTTTTTTTTTCTGCTTACTGCACTATCTATTAAGTGTCTTCAACCAGTTGAAAGTTCTTCCCGAAAGGAAGTAGCTAGAAAGTATTCTCCCTACCCACTTTAGATGTAAATCCCTGAAAGGAGATTTTTTTAGGGGTACAAAACAAAAATACAGTAGGTTTCGTTCAGAAAGAAACCGCATACAACCAGACCAGAGCGGATTTTAGCTGACAAGATTTCAATTCCGCTTGTCTGTCAGTCAAAACTTGCACAAGTAAATTATCAGTAAGGATTCATTCTAATTCAGGTGTTGAAAAACTAGATTGTTCAAAGGACAATCTGCAGTTAAAGTTGATTCAATAAAATTTTAACTTCAGATCGTCCTTTGAACAATTTTGTTTTTAAACAGTAGAAAAATCCTTCTAAATTGTGTGTAACAATTGGCGAAATTATTCAGTTAAGTTTTTTTCACCTTTTAAAACTGGTTAAAATAAAAGGTGAAAAAAACTCAACTGAAAAATTTCTCCAATTCCGACCCACTTTATAGCAGGATATATTTTTCGGGCATATGTATGTTTATATTTTTTTGTAGTAAGAACTTGCTATTAATTTTCGGGTCTTATGTACTGTGACAGTTAAAAGCCATTTAATAGAAGGTGTTCAGTTCAAACTTATAATACTTACAAGACACAAGTTATTAAGAGAAAAATTGAGTTGAGTTTTGGGAGAAGTTGAATAATAATAAACTAGTCTGATTTACTCGAGGCACTGAGCATAGGTGTGGAATAACAATGAAGGCGGAACTAACCTGCCGGGAGAAAAACAATCACCGCCCCGTGATTCCTCCTATGTCCCGACTTGTCCAAATTCTCAAAAATATGAATCGAAAGTTGCAATTTTTTCATCAAATTGATCCTAATTTTCAGTTAAGCTTGACTGTTTCACTTCAATTTAGGGCTTTTCACAACAAGCAATGAAAGCAAAAAAATGGCTGCTGAGTAATTTTCAGGAATGTTTCGACCACGGTAATATGAAAACAACGCCAGGTTTGTTTATTTAGTCTGACCCTTTTATTCAGACACGTTGTCTGATGTTTGCAAATTTTCAACCGGAACCCGCAGAAATTTAAACAACTCAAAATTGTGACAGAATCCTTTTAAAAGTTACCAAAAAATTGAGGCGTCAAAGTTTGAGGCGGCATTTGTCTTTAAAGGGAATTCTAATGAACCCAGGTTGACAATTGTTGTTCCTTTGACACTTTAAACAAATTTTTTGATTTAGAAAAACATTCAAGCCTATAAAAATTTAGCAAAAATGTCTGAAACACTATAAACCAAGCGAGAGACTTCATTCTCAACTTTTGCCAATAATGAAAACCATTCAGTGCAGTTCAGCGATTTGATTTAGGGCATGATTTAATGCATATTTGCATTGTTATTGATAATTCTCAAATAATTACTAAAAATTCAGTTGAACATACTGAAAATAAAATGATCACTTTTTTGGAATTGGTTGTAAAGTAACACGCGAAATTGAAGTTTTGAACCGTTTTGTTTTTACTCTGACAAAAATAGTTATCAACCGAGTTAAAATTTTTAAAACAAGTGTTTCGGTGTTTCGGATTGTTGTTACATCCGATTTCAATAGTAATTCCTAGGGCATTACACCAAGAGCAAATGTGCTCGTCGTGATGTCCTTGTGTGGTATTCAATGCTAGGATTTTAAGTACGATTGTTTAAAATGATGCATATCGATATTTGCCCTGCTTAATAAACTAAATTTGAACCCAATGAATATAGTTTAATAAAAAACTACAAAAAGCGCATTAAAACAGACTAAAAAGCGCGTACAGGCAAAAAAGCGCATAAAAACGTGCGGAAATCAAATCCAATAGACTAAAAACAATGAGAGACAGTTTTTTTGAGCGTTTGCTGAATCTGAAAAATAGCTTCGAAAACAAAAAAAAATCGCGAAGAAACGCGTTATTTCCAAATAAATTATCAAAATTATTTGAGTAAATATATGATTGCGTTGAGTGAAGTGGGATTGTCCGAATTTTTTCTTTAGGTGGTTGTAATTTATTAGTTTTATTTTGAAATAAATTATTCGTACTTGAACTTTCTCTAAGTTTTTTTTTTTTGGTGTAATCTGTTATGTTTTATGTATTGTCTGATTTTTCGAATCTATAAAAATTTTCAATGTTTTGTTAATAAGTCGAATCAATTGGTATTTCGTATTCATTTTCATGGAAGGCTTTTTAATTGAAAGCGCATTTTGTGTTTCCATCTCATCATCTGTTAATTCACAATTGTTGTGATTTAGTTGTAACTCTGACTTCTCTGTGTTTTCAATACCGAAAAGGTCTGCTTGAATTTCTCCATTTGATTGTACCTGAATAACTTGTCTCTGATGTTTAGGGGTACTACTTCTATAGTTTTGGTGTGAGTTTTGAAGTTGTGTTTTATTTCTGAGGCACTTTAACAGGCACACAAAGAAAAGCAAAAGTATATACCATTTTCTTCCAAAGTAGGAACAATAATGGAAATTCCTAAAACAAAACCACATCAAGATAACGCAACAAACAAGTTAACTAAAAATCTGGAGTTTAATTTTTTCATCCAAAATTATTTTCGATCTTACAGGGAAGTTGGAACTGTGAAGGCTCCGAACTGATATGAACAGTCTTGTTTAAGTTTAAACATTATTGCAGTTTTTGTTGCTACAAAAATAAAGCAAATTTCTTGACCAAAATTCTGAGCATAGCAAAAATATCACTATCAAATACAACTTCGAATAAACCTTGCAACTTCAATAAAAACACGTTAATAAAAACTTACAGCATGAAGTTGCGCAACGAAATTTTTCTTATGCGAGTTTGTGCAACCAATAATTTGGGACATGTTTTCAATTCTATGTTTAGCTTAAAATCAATTCAGCGCCATGAAGTGATTTTTGTGACAAAGAATAATCATTTACAGCTTCCGAGCAGTCAAAATCTAAGACTGTCGGAACAATTACGTCTAGCTATCGAATAAACTATGATTTGGTTTGAGCTGCTGAAATAACTTTGATGCTTTGCTTGAAATAATGAAACTTAAATGTTTTTTTTTACATTGTTATTGCAACATCAATTGATTTGGTTGCAATGCTGAACAATAAAATTTAAATGTTTATACATTGTTATTGTAACATCGATTGGGAAAATTTTTATCAAAGTTACAAAAATTGAACCAGCATCGGCCGCAAACAAAAGCAGTCTTTTTCAGGCGGACCATATTTAGTTGACAAGCTTAATTTTCTTGTAAAAGCTCCATCAGGTGTGAGTAGAGAGCAGGAGCTCAACAAATGTATGGTTTTTGCTATTAAAAAATTTCCAAGTGCCCAAAAAATTAGAGATTCAGGCAAAGTATTTAATTAGATCGAGGCTCCATGCCACCATAAATTTTAAGTTCCAAAGACATTCCACTTCTTTTCTACTGAGTATCAAATTAATCATTAATTTGCATCATTTTAATTTTTTTTATAATGTTTGAACTTACCCTTGATACAAACAGTCTTGAATAGTTTTGTAAATGGCTTGAAAATGATAATTATATTAATTTTTTGTTTTAAATGAAAACTCATTTTTTTTTCCACGGCAGTTTTTAAAATCTGTAAATCTCACTCTATCTTAACTTAACGAATGAAATAGATGCTCGGCAACTCATTTATATTTATAATGCGAAATTGTTTGCAATATCGATGACCTTGAGCCAATTAATCGGTCAAAACTATAGCTTTCTAGGTTAATTAGTTTTTTGGACACAATATCCAGAGAAATCAGTGAAACACAAAAATC